GCTACCTGCAGTAATGTTGAACAGCAACACTGGATCTTCATAGTGTACATCATCACCATAGCATTCACAATTGCCATCAGAACAATGATCAGCTGACGGAGCCCACTTTGGGGTCACAAAAACAGCTTTCCAGGTTGTTRKTCCATGTCGAGGCCGGTACCGTACAGCATGAAGTTCCATGGCACAATAATGATACATAAATTCAGTAGGAGAATACTGGACTTTCTGCTTAAGCAATGGCATTATATCATTACCATCAATGATACGATCAGTTGGTATTGTTGCACCAGCAATCTTTAGAATTGTTGGAAACATGTCCACACTTATTGATGGCTCGGCAATGTCAATGCCAGCTGGTATGTGAGATGGCCAGGAAGCAATGGATGGTACCCTAATACCACCTTCATAGCTTTGTCCTTTTCCTGGAAATAACACATCAAATTACTTCATTGTTTAAGGTGTTTCGATCGTAATAAATAGTGTTTCGCGCTTATTTTTTAACTCCAACTTCGTCGCAAATTTCGATTCCATTGCACTCACATTTTCACAGAACAGTGATTATCGATAATTCTTGTTGATAAATTAATTTGCCAAAAAGCGAAGCCATTTGGATAAACGATGCAAAATAAAAACACCTACATTTTCTCTAAACTCATCGCAGAGATTGTAATAAAATTTTCAGAATCATTTCTTAATAACATAATTGATATACTGATGAAGTTTCAATTAAATCTTAACCTAAAATTTATAGTTGTTCGAATGTACATCATTTTGCTCAAACAACTCGAAATTTTAGGTTAATCTTAATCTTAATTTCGAAATCATTGATAGAGCTACAGTGTAAGAACATGAGTTTTTCTCAGACACTAAATGCATAGCTTATTTACAGCGCCGACGATCAGTCAAGCGAGGCACTTGCCATCGTAAAATTTTATCGAGTTTTCTTTAATTCGTATCCAAAATAAAAAAGTTCCATCAATGGTGTAAGATAAAAAGTCACGATATGCTTGGCAAAACGCTGGAAATTGTAAYAATGTTTCGGGGAAGCATGCCCGCGAACTCCCTAGATACGACCACYTCCGCCGGTCACGTAAAGTGCGGTTAACATTTTCCTCTGGCTACGGTACTCAGATATATTAATGTATTATTACTGCTTCATTCATCAGTATCCTAAATCTGACACAACAACTGGAATGCTTTATACATAAGCACTGATGGTACTAAGGTAAAATCTACAAATCTTTTAAAAAGTGCTTTTAAAATATTATTCATATGTACTTCTAAATATAAAATGCCAATGATCAAGTAATTGCCATGGTACATGTACTTGTTGGGTACTGCATTATATATATCTTTGGGACCGTTCATTAATTATACCTCACGGGTGGGGCTGTAGGAAAAGTAGGGGGGGTGGCTTTGAAAAATAAATAGACAATGAAGGGGGGGCTTAAGTGGCATTTGCTGACCTGAAGGGGGTTTGAAACATAAAATTAAAGTATGTATAATATAWAATATTWATGTTTTGTTTTCTTATACATTTCTTATCAATGATCATTTTGAACAACAACTTTTATTTMTTTTTTTTAA